TATTCACATTTAAGCTCTGTGTCATCTCAGCTGACTGAAGCATCACTAGTTCGTACGAACTTGCTATACCCATGGCTTTCTGAAGGGTAAGTTCATTCCCTTTTTCCAGTAATAACTTTTTAAGCCTTAGAGCAGTACAGCCCTGAATCAACTGGTCCCTCACATGGGTGCTGGTATCTGCACCAAAATTACAATAGGTAGCCTGCCTATTTAGCTTGGCGACAAAAGAGGCTACGGTTTCGCCAGTCTCTTGCACCATTTTCCTAAACTTGTGACGTTCATATGGTTCGTAGGTTTTGGGGGTGAAATATTTATCCAGTTTCCTAATAGCCTTATCGTATGCGTTTAATTGCTGCTGGCCCTCAACTTCCCCTTCGTCAGGCAAAGATAAATATATCTGTTGGAGTCTTACTCCACCGGCATGCAACAGTACAGCTTCTTTTTGTGCGTTACTGACAATGCCCTTGGCAGCTATCAAATAGCCTATCGCCGTTTTAAACTCACGCCACTGCGTAGGCAGAGTGGTGGGCTCCGCATCTAAATCTAACCTTGGCAAATCTTACACATCTAGATGTGTATAAGAGACAGCTACAATATTACTTAGAAACAGCCATATTTCTTCTGTTCAATACACCGGCGTTTATCTATATATATCCAGGTTTATCCTCGTCGCCAATGTTATGTCTCTCATTCACTCACTGAGACAAATAAACAACAAAGCCACATCTAAGTAATCCAAACCGGCTGTCTTTATTATCCACCATATTCAACAACCATCACAACCAACTCGAACTTTCTCTGCTCTTACAATAATAGAGGGCGATATACAACTTTGAGTACACTACAGCATTGATTCAAATACAAGGCTCATACAAAAACTAAATCCCAAGGCCGTAAAATATGATTGGTGCCCCGTGGTAGACTATGGCACGCCAGGACGGACATAACTATATCAAACACACATCCCTACCAGTTGAGTTTACACACATCAATACTAGTTGAGTTTTATTACAGATATCGCTATCGGTCGAGTTTACACACATCGCTGTAGTGGAGGTCATTTACACACATCGCTAATAGTCGAGATTACAGATATCGCTACCAGTCGAGTTTGCACACATCGCTACCAGTCGAGTTTGTACACACACCGCTACTAGTCGAGTTTCCACATATCGCTACTAGTCGAGTTTGATTGGTGCATGCGCAGTATGAAATTTGGTAAAACGCCATCAACGTTGCCGAAAAGTTATCAAATACATAGAGCTATTAAACAACTAGAGTGCTGACAAGATGGCGGAGCAATGCAGAGTTATGTATGTGTACCATCCAAGATGGCCGTCGTAGTAAATCGCCACCTTCAGGCTTAGTATACATATTATTACCATAAATAAGCCCTCTGACTGACTATATTTCATTAATGATAATGAGTAATGGTAATAACAAATTATTAAACTATCGTAGCCAAAACCAGGCTAATTGGAGCATCCTATTCAAAAATAAAGTACCAAGGAATGAAAATTAAAATCGTGTACATTACACCCATACACCGCAACGCTCGAGTTTCAAACATACGGGTAACTAGCTGTACTGAACTTTCTGTGTAAATTGAGGGCGCAATTGCAAACGATGTCGCTTAGGCGAAATTTGATTGGCTAAACCTATGGCAGCCATCTTTGATGGTACACACACACACAGCTCTGCGTATTTCGAACATCGAATACATTGCAGTTAGCGCTCTAGTATTCTTATTATATCTCTATGATCAAATATCATCATCATCAATCAACGCTGTCATCATCTATCATCATCATTAACCACGACGTTCATCCTGTGTAATGATTTGTAATGGATCGGTTGTCACTCCAGAAAATTTGTCTAATGCTTGCCAACCCACCCCCTCCCACCCTTGCCTCCACCAAAAGAGGGAATTTACCCCTCTCGATGAAAAAAACTACAATACTGTATTTCTAACTACAAGCCTTGGAGGTTAAGTATTGGGGATACATATTTTAAAATAGGAAAACATGGCAATCATGTGCAATTGGATGTATTAGATGATTTTGATAAAAATAGCAAAAACAATGTTTGTAACGGTCGAATAAACACCCCTCTTGTCTTGTAATGGTTGGCCAGACACAACCCTACCCCGGACCATTACGTAATTTATGGAATTTATGGATGACCCCTCACTATTTTAAAATTCAAAATACAATATAATGACACTAATAGTATTTTCCACGCACAAATTACATAAATAACAGTCAATAAAAAATTCATCAGTAAAATGTTGTACTCAAGTTTTGCAATATTAATTATATTGTATTGTCAGTTTAGAGTAGCAGAGTCATACCACTATTAGATTATTGTGTGGTTTTTTACAGAAATTTCACTTCATTTTAAATTAAGTAATTTTACCATCATTGTTTACATTTTAAAGTCCAACAACCTTGCATATATCTTCACATAGTAAGGTCATTTAGACAGCTACTTTAAATTTTCCTAGTAAAAGGTAATAAATTATAATTAAAGAGTCTGCATTTGAGAATGTGGTCACTCCCTATGTATTAGACAAATCCTAATTGGTCAGAAAGTGTGACTGGTGATACCATGAAATACGCTATTAATATCTATTGACTCATCTAATGTTTGAATTTCATCTATTAACTCTAAAACTGAGTAATGTACTCATT